CAGTATTGTACTCCAGACATTGCAAACAAATAATTTATTATGATTTCACTACAGACAAATGAGTATATGTGTATGAAAACTAATCAGACAGCGGACTAGTGACGTAAAAGTACGCTGGATCGGTGCAAAACAAACAGTACTAAGACGAAAAATTTTGAACTGAAATTGGGTTAATTAATATTGTACGAAAAAATATGAACGACAAGATGGAAAATATGATAAAGTCGAGAATGAATGATTAATTCGGAAGAGTGTAATCTCGTGCAGCGATTGGGAGAATGACATAAAACAAAATAACAACGGCAACAACAACAACAACAATGAATACAAAGATAAATAGGTGAGGTGAAGTGAACAAAAAGCGTGGGATATAATCGAGCAATGAAACTTTATGGGTTCAATGATGACTAATGCGCTTCTTCCATCTGCATTCACTATCGTCAACTAAATAGGGATAAATAGCGAAACAGCTTTACAAATTATGGTTTCATCACGAATGTCATGAACTAGTCCTCCATAATAGGATTGTCACACATGACTGGATTTACATATGCATACGTTATTCTCTTATTCAAGAGCGATGAGTATTTTTAGGGATTTGTACTTATGGGCAAATTCACTAGAAAAAAGCACTCATTAGGGAGCTCAAGGAGTACAAATGCGATATAATTTGAAGAGTTCTTTATGACAACAAAATACAACAATAAGTCACTGCTTCACAAAAGTAACGAACTTATCATGCGTTTCAGTGGTATTAATTGTTGGATTATAATACGAATAATCAATCACATTAGTACAAATAGTCATAATAATAGCAATAATAATAATAATAATCTGAGTATGAATGAGTGGCACAAGAAACACCATCAAAAATCGGTAAAAAACGATAAAGACAGAGAGACAAATAATCAGGAGATCGCAATACAACAATATGGGTGTTTATTCAAAGTTTTGTGATTCATTCTTCATCCAAACCGTTGGCCCTCCAAACGTACCGATACCTTCATTCTTCACTAATAACCTCGTCCACCATTCCAACCACCACCACCACCGCTGCCTTGGCCTCCCCAGCCACCTTGAGATCCACCTCCCTGGCCTCCCCAACCTCCGTGGGAGCCACCGCCTTGACCTCCCCATCCACCTGAAATACTCAGCATATGAA